ATATATATATATATATATATATATATATATATATATATACACCCACACACACACACACACACACACACACACACATATATATATATATATATATATATATATATATATATATGAAGAGTCTTGTGCTCACAGAAATAGCACATAGATTTAAACAAAAATATGTCATTTTCTACCTTAGGATCCTTTAAAGCAACACTTTTTTTTTTTTTTTTACAATTAAAATTTATTTTAATTGTGTCCCTACTTTCCCTCCTTTTTTCGTATTATTGCTGTGTCTTGTTTGTTTTGTATTTCGCTAATGATTGCCTTTAAAAAAAAAGTGTTGGTTGAAAGAATCCTAAGGTATAAAATGACATCTATTTCGTTGAAATATATATATATATATATATATATATATATATATATATATATATGTGTGTGTGTGTGTGTGTGTGTGTGTGTGTGTGTGTGTGGTATAAAATATACATGCACGTACGTAAATTGCACGTACGTATAAATATATTTATTCCACATGTGTTATAAATACAGTGCTCAATTGTATGAGACGGACCTATAATTATATGTGAATGAATATACATAACATCCAACGTCAATAGCACGACTCGGAGGTTCATGCAGTTACTGCAATATTTTCACCTGAAGATTGGCGTTACACTTCAAAAGGCCATGTGAAATGATAAAAATAATAACATGATGCCAAATAAATATTTATTTTTAATAACTTGTAACATTTTTCTATTGCTAAATAACCTGTATACACAATTAGCCACTGTCTATTGAAGCCTATGCATCTTCTAAAAGCTTTTACATTTCTTACGTTGAATGGCATTGACGCTCACTTTACGAATAAGGATACCTCACAAGCTTTCAATTGGATTGAGATCAGAAGAATGTGCTTTCTAAGTCAATGATGTCGTTCTGAAACTATTACACTATGCTTCGTTCCCAATGGATTGAGGATTGTCTTGGAACTTCCGACTGGCACCAGTAATTATTCATGCGTATGGAATCCAGGCAACGAATAAAAGAACTGATATCTGGCATCATTAAGCCGAGTCTTGATGAAGACTATCGGAACATTTGCTTTTTATCATTTCCTTTTATTTTTCACTTTCTCAACCAGATCACCGCAGTTAAATCAGCATAAAAACGATACCATAGCATTCTATCTAATGATTCACTTTCAGTTCTCATGAGAAAAGGTTGCCATATGAATATGGAATTGTGGGTGACTGAAGAAGGTATCTACCGCAAAATTGTGCTGCAAAATTATAAATATACGTTGAAAATGGAAAAATAAAAATACGTCAGACCAGAACTTTAGACTATGCAGTTAGGCCGAAAATATATCGGCTGAAGCGTTGTACTAAAAGCAACAAAAAATGAAAATAATAGTTTAAATAATGGATGGAATAATAAAAATACTAAATCTCAAAAAATTGAGAGGCTATGGGAAGGCTGAAGAATATATCGGCTGAAGCCTTCTATTGCTAGCAACAATGATAAAGGAGACCCAAAAATGTGGGTTCAATAATACTTCATCTTTGAACTTCAGAAAAATGTATTTCTTCTTGAAATTCCGTATTTGTTTTTAATTGGTTTCTTCTTCAATGCGGCTTTAAAATAATATGGCAGATTACCAAGCCATATTTTTTCTTTAGATTTTATTTTGAAAAAAAAAAAAACAGGCTTGTCTTGGAAGTCATTTCTTCTCTTTGATGTCCATCTCTTTGTCCCTAGGGATATATCCATCTTGATAAAACTACCCGAATGAAAATGCCTCTTACGAATGGAACTTTCAACCGGAAAAATCTCACTCCCTCTGTCTGTCTGTCTGTCTCTTTATATACATATATATATATTTGAAGTCGACCGTTGTCCAAATAGATAGATAGATAGATAGATAGACAGATAGATAGAAACAAACAAACGTAAGTAGATAGATAGTTACATAGAAAGAAGGAATCGTAAATAGATAGATAGTTTTCTTCTTACTTTATTCCACTCTGAATTGTTGATTATCACCTAGCAGAAAATATATACGTTAAAAATTTTAAGATATTGTATACTTTATATTGTTGGCGTGCTAGCTGCAAGTACCTCGGGTGGACCTGGGGGCATCAGCAATTTTTGTGGTTCCACTCTCTTCAAAACCTCTTGATCAGAGGCCTTGCTGTCGGATGTACTTTATCATCTTACCGAGGACGCAGATGTAGTTTATCATCTTATCCAGGACGTTCCAATTTGAGAACCTTAGTTACTATATTCTTAATACGTGATACAATGCAAAAACATCAAAATGATAAAACTGGTCAATAATTATTTATAACTATTTATCCTGGGTCTCATACAGGTGATTACAAGTAATCCATAAACAAAGTTTGAAATCATGTTTATTTTTGGCACATAATTTTTTAAAAAACTATTTCTAAATCTTTGATTATCGTTCCGTCATTCCGCCTCACCTGCTATCCTCTTTCGCCTCACCTGCTATCCTCTTCCGCCTCACCTGCTATCCTCTTTCGCCTCACCTGCTATCCTCTTCCGTCACACCTATGAGGTGCACCCCACCGTTTGGGAATCATTGAAATAGAAAATTAAAAGTTATCGACTTAATACAGAAAGAAGACAATCGCATATCAAATTTGCTCGGGTTAAGCCTTAAGTCGAGTGCTGATGAAGACTATCGGAAAATGTTCTGTCTATATTTCTGAGATGAGGTATTGTAATTATTTACATTATTTACATTGTTTGAACTGTTGTCTTCATCTTTATTGTCATATTCACAACGTTTTAGTTTCCGGCTTCTTCGGGTGATTAGAATTTCGAACCGAAATCTTTATTTCGTCCACTGGGGTAGATTGTTCTAGTTCCACATGCCATGTCAGGTATTGAACTCACGCTCTTTGGATCAAGTCACTGGATCCAACCAATGCTTTTATTCAGTGGGCCATGTGTTCACCTCTACCTTAGCCAGGGGTGAACAAAAACTTGTTGAGTTGAAGGAAGATAACTGAGACATCCGGAATAGGCATGGCACGTGGAACTAGAACAATCTATCTCGGTGGACGAAATAAATGTTTCAGTTCGAAATTCCAATCACCTGAAGAAGGCCGGAGCGTACAACAGCCGAAACATTGTGAATATGGCAATGAAGATGGAGTTAACAGTCCAAACAATGTAAATAATGGAAAGTTTGCTTTTTACTATTTCTTTTGATTTTTCTTTTTTCTGAATCAGATCATCGTATTTGCATCAGCATAAAAACGACACCTTAACATTTCACTCAGTTATTCACTTTCACTTCTCATGAGGAAAATCTATTATATGCAATATATAACTGAAATAAATTTGGCTATGGAATCTCGACAGAATTATAAGTTATTGACATTTGGAAAAACGTTCATGAAAGTATGTTTCGAAAATAATATCCGATTATGCATTTCTCCTATATGGCTTCATCAGATGGATAACGAAAAATGCATTTGTGTGTGTTTAAAATAATTAAATCTTATATTATTTTTCCCAAGCTGGCGTTGCTCGATACTAAAAAAAGAGAAAGAAAATAAGTGACTTTAAAAAAAAATCGTTTAACATTTTATATTCTCCGCCATAATTGTGAATGACTGAAGAACACATCTACCGCAAGATGAATTTTACTTGTTCTAGGTTATTGTTCTATTTTATTGGTAATTATTGTTTTTAATTTGCTATTTTATAAATTAAATTTTACGATAGACATTTATAAGAGAAAGTAAAGTGATTGTCAGTAGTTTCGAGCGCTGGAGAGCCAGACGACCTGAAAGAATCAGAACATTTACTAAGCGATTAGAACCTCTTTAGTATTATAATTGTACTTGGCCTTCTCTTCATTAGTTCGCACGACCGTTATGCTCTGCCAATACCTCATAAATTCTACACAATCGCCAACAATCGAATTACCATAAATAAAATAACTGCTGAATTATTTTTAAATGATTATTAAGAGAAGTGTTGTACGATATGGGAGCCAATAATTAAGAAAAAAAAGAAATGATAGCAAGTTTTCAGCAGCAATAGCAACGGTAAAACAAAGAAACTTGGTTAGCAGTAGGCATTGTTCCACGAACAATAGTCCAAAAGAGTTCAGTCCCTTATCCGAGCAGTGTATACTTGTACTGTGGAAATGAAGCGAGCAATAACTAAACGGTACTAAAAGAACAATAAAAATAAGACAGGGTCAGCGGAATTCGAGTAACCTACCTCCGTAGATTCAATAAAGTGTTCAGTTAGAAATTCCCTGAAGGTCACCCGGATCGAAAAGCACCTGATGAAGGCCTGAGAGCATCACGGCTGAAAAGTTAGGATAACAACAACAAATATCAAGATAACAGTCCGCATGTAAATAATATAAATTGCGATAACTCCTAATCCCAGAAATTCAAACAGAAATCCGCCAGCGCTCGGAGGGGTGTCTTGGAACATATCCGCGGATTAGGATTAGGAGGAACTACTGCATTTATTGTGATTTTTAAGGAATTTCTTATCTAATGTTTTCACTATTATATCTTCAGGAAATTAATCTTTCAACTATTAAATTAAACAGCGGAAATTTGAATTAAAAATTAGTAACAGAAGACCGAAGACAGTATCGGTCGAAATGCTGGGTTAAATGCATCAAGGATAAAGACAATGATCTTGATTCGTTTTCTACGGTTTATCAACACGTTTAAGGTTATTTATAGCCAAAAAAATTAGATTGTAATTTTTTTAGATAATAATTCACCCTTGGCTGGGAGAGAAGAAGTGGGTTCATGCCTTTCCCAAAGGTATTTGCACATAAATGAATATAACGAACCCAATTGGAATCCGATTAACAATTCCGTGTCATTATCCATTACACCACCCGCACATCCAGGCTTACTGCACCTGGTATTCCCAAGCGGTCACCCATCTTGGTACTGACCAAGCTCAATGCTTCTTTACTCTGGTGATGGCAATGATATGAAAAAAGTTAATATAAATTAATATTTTTTCTATGCTATTTTTCTTCAACATTGAGGATATTAAGTATAAAATTATTTTTTATTAATAATTTATGTTTTTCTTTAACAGAATAAATAGGTATTATTTTTTTTAAAAGTATGTTGAATTTTTCTGTCATTCGTAAATTATTTATTTACCAATGACAGAAAAATTCAACATACATTACAAATAAAAATAACGTTTTTCAAATCGAAATTAATTATTAATTATTAAAGTTATCACAAAGTTAAGGTCAAAAATGAAATTATAAATTTAATATCTTACAACTATTAAAAATATACCACAAAAATGTAAAGGAGAAGACATTATTGACTTTTCAATATCGTCTTTCTCTTTTTTTCGATTATTTTAAACTGCAAAATTCACAAAAAATGTTATTATGTATTTTCCCATCTATTTTTTTTCTTTATAATATTATTTTTAATAATAAGGAATATCTTGATTATAAAATTCATTTTTAAAAAACAAAACAATCATTTACACACGAGTAGAAAATAATGTATTTTTAATTTTACTAAATTGTTAAAAATGTAAAACAAAAAAATGACTTGTTTAATATTTTTTAAAATAGTGTAAAAGTATTAAACTGGTTAATTTTGTTTAGATAATTATTTTTATGAGGGAGGAGGTGATCGATCAGCCCCCTCTCCACAAACACATAAAATACGATTATCCAAAAATTTGAATGAGGGAGGTCCAGTTCACGATGTAATTTCAACATAAAACGGACCCTGACAAGTGAAACAATTTGGAAATCCTTTGGAATTACGTAATTCCTTAAAGACAACGGAAAGTAATATAAAATAAATTCCTACACTCATACAAACTTTTAAATTCTGAATTCTAAACTCTCCAGCTTTAGATTTTAAGTTTCATGCACTTTTTAGAAGCAGTATGTAATTTTTTTAAAATAATAGTTTAAGTTTTTTTTTTTTTTAATTTCAATACCCCAAAATCTTTCTCAAAATGTTAAAAAAAAAAAGTACTGGTTGTCGTGGTAACTAACAAACAAGGTTTGTGTATTTTGTCTTCCTCAACATCAGAATATGCGAGAACGATGATTAACGGCAATACCTCAAGACAAACCAAAAGCATTTTTCATTTGAATATGAAACAGTGGTTATTACAAGAAAAATACGACCCAGAAATCCACCAATATTCGATTATTTGACATAAATGTACTACTTAGTCTTCAACAAAAATCAACAAACAAAACTTCTCTTTCTATACGAAATGTGAAAAATGATGAATTTCTAGAAAAGGACAAAATCCTCGCTTTTGAAAAATTGTATCAGAATATTGTTCAACAGAATCAGTTACATGCTATAAATCAAACAATCAGCTGTTCATCCAATCGATTTCAATGTTTTCAGTTAATTTTTTTTTAAACCGGACATTAGATTGTTACAATGCTGATATATATATATGCAACAATTTTTCTCTTTCAGAAACTTGAATAGCAATGTTTTAGTACTGGTCACAAATCAATGAAGCAGTTCGTTATCTTAGTGACTTAAAAATTGATAGGAAAAATTTTTAAAGAGCATATTAATGTTATGTTACCACAAATTATTGAGAAAGAACATTATGATTCTGATATTCTTATCTGGACATTTTAATACTTTCTTACATTTTGGTCATTATATAAAATACTTCAGGATGATTTTAAGTTACCCAGTGTGAGAACATTACCAGCTAAAAGTTTCAAAATTAGATGATTTTTATTTTCTTGGTGATATTTTAGTGAAATCTCTGAAAATAAAAAAGTGCATTCTTTTAGTTGATGAAGTGTATACCAAGGTTGCTCTACAGTATCATGGAGGAAAATTATTTGGTTTGGTTGAAACTTTTTAGGGAAAACAGAATTTGGCGTCATGATAAAATGTTTAAATGAGAACCAACAAATTTATTTAAAAAGATCCCAGTTGCAAAATTAGAGTCAACTTTTGGGGAAAAGGGGAAAGCTTTATGAGGACGAGTAGGTTAGATATCGGTTGAACCTGGACCAAGATTGTAGTCGTCTTCAGGAAAGAATTCTCTCGGGATTTCTCGCCACAGATCATACCAGAATAGACTTTACACTTAGTATTTATCAGAATAGCTAAGAGTAGCGTTAATCTGACAGATAATTTCATAGTCGTCAATGGTCAGCGCTTCTCAACCTGTAATGCGCGTGCATAACGGATACATAAACACCCACCTTAGTGGGAAAAGGGCAGTGTCTCTCAGACATCGTAGACACGATGTCAAATCTATATTACGGATGAGGACTAATACGGAACCGCTCAAAACACTGACGGACAGAAATTGATGAATTACTGGAGTGCAATAAAATAAGAGAGATTTACCCTCCGGCTTTCATTAATCGGCATATATTGACACCTTCTGCCATGTCTTATATTTACAAGTGTCAGATCAGACCAAAAATGGAGCATTGCTACTCTGGATATGTGGTAGGACTTTCTTTCCTGGAAACTTTTTATTTTCTTTAGAGTGATGAGCGAGTCATTTGATATTCGGTGTCACAAAAATGTTTGTTTATAAGGCGGATATTGGTAGCTGCCAGGAGAATGTCCAGTAATGTAATTTGAAGTCAGTCCATGATAGGGGTAGTAATAATATTATAAATTAGTTCAGTATCAATCTACTGTGTTTTTCTCAGCCCTAAGCAGCGCAGAAATGCCATTAACAGATGACCTCTTAACTACTTCTTCACTTATCACGCGATAGCATTCTTTTGTTAAATCCTTTCTTGCCGCTCTCCTGATTCTACCTTAAAGGTATCAGTTTATATCCTTTTGACCGGGTCCAGAGACTCAGGCGCGAACACTGGTTTCGGCTAACATCAAAAGTCTCTATGAGTCAATTTTTTGATTGGTAATAATTGTTTTATTTTTCAGCGTTCTTTTCTTTATCAGTTTTTATTTTATAATGGAAGTTATGCATGGAGCCTATCTGTTTTTATTTTTATTTTTTATTTTTTATTTTTATTTTTTTTTATTTTTTTTTTTCAATCACAAATAAGTAGGCTCTGATCCATCAAACTTCCGGCGTTTTTTATCCGGGTTCAGTCTTTTCTTCTTCCTCTTTTTACTTGAGGGTTGTCTTCTCGCTAGCTGAGAGAAGTATAGAAAGAGAAGTATAGAAAGAGAGAGAGAGAGAGAGAGAGAGAGAGAGAAATAAAGAGATAAGCGTTTTAAAGGGAATCACAAATGTCTTATTTTAATTTGCATTCTTTTTATTTTTGTTTATATATTTTATTTTTTATTTTTTATTTTATTCTTATGGTGACTCACTAAACTACCATATATGGGTTATTGCTGCCCAACCCTAACCCTCCAGCCTTGACAGACTTCAGAAGAGTTTTAACGGCCTTGCTGGTGGTGAATTATTTTCAACTCGACAACCTTTTCCCCCACAGACGAAACATTGCTTATCGCAAATGTTCAGACAAGCTACATTTTTAGTTCTACCAGTTCAGACCTTCACAGATCGAACCCGCCATGCCACGCACACAATTTACACTGGTCTTCATTCTCTTCGCTTTTTTTTTAGTAAGAAGGATGTTCCACTTAGATATCTTTTCCCTCATTTGCGGAACAGACACCCGAGAGAATGCTTCCCCGATTACTGCGATATTAACGTCTTCAAGCCGGACGTCATTCGTTATCTATCCTAAATATTGTCATAAAATGCACTTCTTTTAAGCCCTTAAACGAACCTCGTTCAGGAAATCTCTAACTTGAATGGCTCTTGGGCCTTATATTGAATGAACAGTAGTATAAAAATAGATGAACATGCTCGTCCGATAGGTATATGGAATAATGAAAATACTTACCTCGAAACTTGAGAATTATTTTTATATATATATATATATATATATATATATGTGTGTGTGTGTGTGTGTGTGTGTGTGTGTGTGTGTGTGTCTGTCTGTCTATCCACCTGTTTACCAGTGTGACTAATCAAAAGTTCGAAATCTCATCTTTTCAAGTTTTGGTCTTCACATTTTTTTTCTCTCTCACACACACGCGTACGCACACAGCGTCGATGTTTCTTTTTCTTCGGCTCCCCTCCTGTTCTATTATCCGCTACCCTCTTCATTGTTGTCCCTTGTCTGTTAAACACACCAGTCATAAAAACCACACATCAAGCAAGACATTCAACAACGCCCAAACACTTTTTACTCGTTTATCTTTTCTGTCGGCGTTTTACGTTCCCGCCACCTTCCTCATTTTATTGAAACACTCACGTATCCTGCTTTTATTTTTACGTTTTAAGAGTATTTGATTTGATTTGCTTTCTCCAATCTCTCTCTCTCCTTCCACGGGCATTTCTTCTTCTTCTTCTTCTTCTTCTTCTTGGTTGTTGTTGTTGTTATTCTTCTTCTTCTCCTCCTCTCCCTTGTTGTTGTTGTTGTTCTTCTTCTTCTTCTTCTTCTTCTTCTTATTATTATTATTATTATTATTATTATTCTTCTTCTTCTTCTTCTTCTTCTTCTTCTTCTTCTTCTTCTTCTTCTTCTTTCACTCTTTCTTCAATCTTCTTCCTCTATTCCTACACTTTTTATTTTCCTCATCCTCCTTTCTTCTTCTTCTTCTTCTTCTTCTTCTTCTTCTTCTTCTTCTTCAATCTTCTTCCTCTATTCCTACACTTTTTATTCTCCTCATCCTCCTTTCTTCTTCTTCTTCTTCTTCTTCTTCTTCTTCCACTCTTTCTTCAATCTTCTTCCTCTATTCCTACACTTTTTATTTTCCTCATCCTCCTTTCTTCTTCTTCTTCTTCACCCCTTCTCCTTCTTCTTCTCGTGCTCATCAGTAAATGATTCTTCTGCACTTGCCAACGCGTTTCGTTTTTCGGCATTTCGCTTTTTGCAAAGTCGCCAACCCCTCATTCTGCAAATGATGCTTCGTTTGTGTCTTCTTCGGTTGCATTTCGTTTTTCATATGAGCTTTTGATTTTGCTTTTTTTATTTTTATGGTATTTCTTTACCTTACACAATCTGTTTTTCTCTCTCTCTTCAATCATCTCCTTTACTGCGTTCTGCTTACAATTTCGGTTCCATCGGCTTCCGACATCTTTTTTTTTTTTTGCTTTATTTTCATCCTTTATCCACCTTTCTTCATACATTTTGTTTTCTGTCCAACAAACAGTTCAGTAGGAACACCTCGGCGTCTACTCCTGCTTAAGAATGCCTGTCAAGTTCACCATTACCAGGGAGTTCGATCCTAACTCTATACGGACTTGTGCTAAATTATAGTAAGCTTAATAAAGAATAAAGTAAGCACGTTACTTGTAATAGCTAACGAGTTTGCTTTGCAAATCATTACTTCTGGGTAATGAGTTCGATCCTCATTGGGTGTCCCGTATTTGTCGGTCAAAATCTTTTTTGTTCGCTGATTTTTGTTTCCATTGACTATAATTATTAAGAACTCCTCAACTTTCTTAAACCTATTCTTGTCACTGTTATCACCGAAACGTCTCCAATGTATAACTCGCAATTGATTAATAATCAACGAGCTAGTTCAATCGACCATTCTTCTTCTTCTGTGTGAAGTATCACTTTAGGCTGTTGGTCATCATGCATATCCACAATTTCTTGTCATTTGTAGCACTTAATACATTTTGTCTTTCCGTGCCGATCACCACTAACTTAATTATAGGTTTATAAAGAATCCGATATTAATTATAGGTTCATAAAAATCTCGTATTAATTATAGGTTTCTACCTACAAGGCTTCAATGCACACCGTCCCAATTTTGGAGGGCCGGGGGCATTAATGTGTTTAAAAAAAATTGCTTCAGTCTCTTTCTGTCTTAACTTTTTTTCTCTCTAATGTTTTTCAGTGTTTTTTTCTTTTTTTTCTCGAAATTATTTTATTTTTTTCTATGTTCCCCATTCTCGTTTGACGGCATATAAAACGAAATTTCTTTTTTTTTTTACTAAAAATATCTTTTAAAATTCCCCTGCGTCTTATATGCCATATGCAGTTTTAAAATTCGCGATAGTCGACCGAAATTAGCTACCTGACAACTCCTATTAGCTTAGACTTTAGAGTAACCTTCATATACATATTCTCATTATTTAAAAAGCTATTACACAGATTAAAATGTTATCAATGATAATATTCATTATGTTAATTTCATCACGTTTAATATCAGTACTTTGTTTCGCTAAAATTATATGCAATAAATTCAAATTATATATTTCTAAAAATATTTGTTTCATTGATATTTTTCTTGCGATAACTTCCGGTTGTATTGGTAGAAATACAATCAGAATTTTGATATCCTAACTAGCAGCATGGCCCGGCGTTATCCGTGCTTGATTCAAAAATCGTACGACTCATACAGAAATCGCTATCACTTGACTTAAAATATTTTTGCGCTTCCTTGCCTTTAAAGGAGTGCCCTTTGCCGTGCTGATGTTGCTACATGCCTTACTTCTTGCCTATTTCACACTGCGAATTTTTTCTAAGCTCTATACTAAACATTAAATCTGTTACGAAAAAAGAACTAAACAAAATGAACACAAAACGATCAGCTTTAAAAAAGGATTCGTAACTAGAAAAAACAGATGAAAAAAGAATGTTAACAACAAATACTTTTTCACACCCAACCCAGTTCTGCGGAATCAGAATCAACGTTGAGTTTAAGCAAGCGAATGAGCCAATTGGAGTAAAATGCCATGCAGATTTTTCCCCCTTGTGACGAATGCAGCTATCGATTTTTTTTTTTTTTTTTTTTTTTTTTTTTTTTTGCATGCTAGTTAACATTCGTGTCAGTCAGCTGTTGGCACTCACTCTGGCCAGAAGAAAATGGCCGCAAACTATATGAAAACTGCCGTAGAAGCATGAAAAAAATCGATTATTTCCACTATCGCTGGGAGTTGGGAAATGCAAAGTCGGTCTTGGCCTTTCCGCTAATTTGGAGCATGTGCATGTAAATTTTGGTGAGAATCCGTCAAAAATTGCGGCCATGCATTCGTTACACACACACACACACACACACACACACATCCTGCCTTTTATAGATAGAGATTATTCCACTATGGCGTTTACAAGACGCAGGTTGTACAAATCATATAAAGGATATAATAAAGTTTTTATAGGCTCGTCTTCTTTCTTCCTATTATTTTTGGTTTAATTGTAATCATGCCTTGTTTAACCAAAATAATACCTCATATATATATATATATATATATATAGCCTACGCTGTACCATTTTACTAATAATTTTACTAATTTTGCTAATTACTATTTTTTTCTTGATTTGCCCTACTGAAATTGGGGTGCGTCTTATATGTCGTTAAATACGGTAATTAACATATACGGAATACCCAGGCTATATAATGACGCCGATTAGGAGAAGGAGGAATTACTCATGAGCGTTTAGTAGTAACACGAAGGACTTAGGACTTCACATCAGTTATCTTTGCATTGTCTTTGTTAATTATGATCATCGTCATTAGTAAGGCATTAATTATAAGCAGATATAGTCTTAAACAGGGCTAAAGAGTTGTAGTTCCAGATCACCATTCACTACATTAAGTGTCGCTTGCAAGTAACTCTCCATCAATCAATGTTAATCAGCCGCTGTATTTAATAAATCTTGCTTGATATAAAACAGGACCAAAATATTAGATTACCATGCGAGAATCAAACTCCATCCTTCAAGTCACAAAATTTCGAATATGTACTGTAGCCATACTAGCAGGGTTGTGTCTAAGACATTTTAATTGGGCGGAGCCCATCCCTCTTCAGGTTGTTTTTGAATTTAGAGTTTTCTTTCTCTTCTTGTCGTCATCTCAAAGTAAGAGAGTTCAGTCAGCCCTACCGTAGGTGGTAGAAGAAGAGGTGGATCTATAGCTTTCCTGGGGATATTTGTGTGAAAGTGAACGCAGCACACTCGGTCGTAATTCGAACTCAGCTCGCTGATTTCTATCTCTGAGTCGCTGTTACACGAACCGCATATCTGAACTAACTCCACGAGTTATTATTTACTAAACTTAATTATGGCACACGTCTTCAGCAAAGTGTCACCTAATGAGAATCTGATTTACTACTCGAGAGAATGAACAGAGTAAAAAGATTATAAAATATTGCCTCCGCTCGAATTATTTTCAATAGTCAATATCTTTTTTTTTTTTAAATTCTCTCTATCTAAAGTTTTATTCATTTCCAATCCTTACTCGATCAGTAAAGAGAGAGAATGGTGACGATAGCAAAAGTAAATGAACAAACTAATACTTCCAACGCCAAAAGAATAATTGGAATCTTTTCTGTTAATTCACCTCAATTAATGCACCAGAAATATTCATTCAACCCAAGTTTATTTTTATTACATTTTTGGTACTCTTTTGAAATTATGAATTTTAAGTCAAAATTTGTTTAGCTTTTCTCACAACAACTCCTACTCTCTGAGTGAAAAATTACCAAAAATCAGGGAATTATTCACATTTCGTAAGTACTGATGATATTTGGGATACTTACAAGGAATTTTTTACAATTTAAATAATATCTTTTTCTGGTTTGTTTATCAGGGTGAGCACGACGAGGGCCCACTTTTAGAAATAGCGCGCCTGAGTCGTTCACATTTGGGGTGGTCGCAAAGGTCAACCTAACTGGAATGTAATGGAAGGGTTTAATTCTGGGAGAATTTGGTATGGATTTTAATAAATATAAATTCTTTTTTTTTTTTTTTTTTGGGTGAATTAACAGAAAAACATTCAATAAGTGAATATTATCAACAAAACATTCTGAAGGCTGAGAAAACAACTATTGTGTCATAAGTAAATGCCGTTCGTGGGACCTATTTTTGTGACGAATATATTATCCTAACAAACCGTTTCTTAAATATATAATAACAAGTGATTAAATATGGGTTATATAGAACATTTACAGCTTAAAAGCACTGGATTGACAAGGATAAATCTTTACAACTAACCCACAATAGATTCTGAGATCCCTGAACGAAAAGTAATACAGTGTATGTGATGGGATCGCCGAGTAAATATATATTTGGAGTTCTAATAAGGCAGTGAAACACTAAATGCAACTCAAACGCGTTCATAAAAGGAACGTGTTCATCAAAGTCTCCAGGAATTTCAACTTGTCCATATTAGGTTTGGTCGAAAAGCGACAGCACTCGTCAGTATGATAAAATGTTATTCTTCTCCATGACAACTGATGACCGTATATACCAAGAATAACACAAGGGACACTTTTTGATATCGGTTAGCCTGTTCTAATCAACTTGCTTTATTCACCTGACTTTGCAACAAGCGATTATTACCTTTTTTGATCGCTGCAATTGATCGGGAGAAAATTTCCTCTCATGATAAACAGATTCAAGAGTTCGTCGAAAAACTTTTCCCATCAAAACCTTCGAACTTTTACTCAAAAGATATCGAAGAACTGGCTGATATGTGGCAACAATTCATTGCAAATAATGATGAATATATAATTAAATAAAATGCAATTGTGCTTTATTGCTTGAAGAATAAATATGATAAACAAAAACGGAAATTGTTTATTATTCAACCTAATACATTCCCACATCTTACTCAGGTCTTTGAATTTCAATCGTCTCACAGACTCACCCATTCCTTGACATTTACCAATACAAATGAATTTTGCCTCTTCTGACAAGTTTTACAATTAATTTTCTGAATTTCAGTATGGTCATCTTTGGGAATTTCATTAAATCATTATTTTTTTTTAATATATTTCTTTCTAATCGGCTTCGTGTTAAAACAACATTTTCATAAAAATCGATCGACCACAATTCTAACACTACCTGCTTAAAAATAAAATTATTCTGCTTAA